TGCTAGAATGTCCAACAACAGACACAAGTGAATTAACATCAACAGACACGACATCTGTTACAAATCAAACAGACACTGAGGACGGATTGATGTCAGGTAAAACAACAGTAGTATCATTCGTAGCACCAATTGCACAAGACATGGCAACAACGTCATTAAACATGATATTAGCAAAAACGCTGCAAGATATAAAAACTCCACAAGATATGACAACTCGGAGAGAAATGTCACCGACTCAACAAGACACGACAACACCTCCACAAGACTTGACAACACCTCCACAAGACATGACAATAACCCCACAAGACATGACAACAACACCACAAGACATGATAACAACACCACAAGACATAACAACAACACCACAAGACATGATAACAACACCACAAGACATGATAACAACACCACAAGACATAGTAACAACACCAGAAGACATGATAACAACACCACAAGACATGATAACAACACCACAAGACATGACAACAACACCACAAGACATAACAACACCACAAGACATGACAACAACTCCACAAGACATAACAAAAACTCCACATGACATGACAAAAACACCTCAAGACATGACAACAACACCACAAGACATGATAACAACACCACAAGACATGATAACAACACCACAAGATATGATAACAACAGCACAAGACATGATAACAACACCACAAGACATGATAACAACACCACAAGACATGATAACAACACCACAATACATGACAACAATACCACAAGACATAACAACACCACAAGACATGACAACAACTTCACAAGACATGGCAACAACACCACAAGACATGATAACAACAGCACAAGACATGGTAACAACACCACAAGACATGATAACAACACCACAATACATGACAACAATACCACAAGACATAACAACACCACAAGACATGATAACAACACCACAAGACATAACAACACCACAAGACATGACAACAACTCCACAAGACATGACAACAACACCACAAGACATGATAACAACACCACAAGACATGATAACAACTCAACACGACATGGCAACAACTATACAAATCATGACAACAACACTACAAGACATGACAACAACACCACAAGACATGATAACAACTCCTCAAGACATGACAACAACACAACAAGACATGATAACAACACCACAAGACATAAGAACAACACCACAAGACATGATAACAACACCACAAGACATGACAACAACTCCACAAGACATGACAACAACACCACAAGACATGACTACAACACCACAAGACATGATAACAACACCACAAGACATGATAACAACCCCAAAAGACATGACAACAACCCCACAAGACATAACAACAACACCACAAGACATGATAACAACACCACAAGACATGACAACAACTATACAAGACATGACAACAACCCAACAAGACATGATAACAACACCACAAGACATGATAACAACACCACAAAACATGACAACAACACCACAAGACATAACAACAACACCACAAGTCATGATAACAACACCACAAGACATGACAACAACACCACAAGACAAGACAACAACACCACAAGTCATGATAACAACACCACAAGACAAGACAACAACACCACAAGACATGATAACAACACCACAAGACAAGACAACAACACCACAAGACATAACAACAACACCACAAGACATGATAACAACACCACAAGACATGACAACAACACCACAAGACAAGACAACAACACCACAAGACATGATAACAACACCACAAGACATGACAACAACACCACAAGACAAGACAACAACACCACAAGACATGACAACAACTCCACAAGACATGACAACAACACCACAAGACATGACAACAACACCACAAGACATTATAACAACACCACAAGACATGATAACAACACCACAAGACATGATAACAACACCACAAGACATGATAACAACTCCACAAGACATAACAACAAGACCACAAGACATGATAACAACATCACAAGACATGACAACAACTCAACACGACATGGCAACAACTCAAGAAGACATGATACCAACTCAAAAACACATGACAACAACTCAAGAAGACATTATAGTAACTCAAGAACACATGACAACATCTCAACAAGACATGATACTAACTCAAGAACATATGACAACGACACAACAAGACATGATACCAACTCAAGAACACATGACAACAACTAAACAAGACATGATACCAACTCAAGAACACATGACAACAACTCAACAAGACATGATACCAACTCAAGAACATATGACAACGACTCAACAAGACATGGTACCAACTCAAGAACATATGACAACGACTCAAAAAGACATGATACGAACTCGAGAACACATGACAACAACTCAACAAGACATGATACCAACTCAAGAACATATGACAACGACTCAACAAAGCATGATTCCAACTCAAGAACACATGACAACAACTCAGCAAGACATGATACCAACTCAAGAACATATGACAACGACTCAACAAGACATGATACCAACTCAAGAACATATGACAACGACTCAACAAGACATGATACCAACTCAAGAACACATGACAACAACTCAACAAAACATGATACCAACTCAAGAACACATGACAACAACTCAACAAGACATGACATCAACTCAACAAGACATGACATCAACTCAACACGAAATGTCACCAACTCAACGAGACATGACACCAACTCAAGAAGACACGACACCAACTTATAAAAACATGATAACAACTCAACAAGACATGAAAACAACGTCTACAAACGTGTCAATGACAAGAATTACACTAGACTTGCCATTCACTACGTCAACAAAGAAGTCAACAACACATACACATAAAACCACTCAACTATTAGAAACCACAATTCCGACAGAAATAGATACTTATATAGTAGAAAATACACCTTCAAAAGGCATGATAACTACTCAACAAGACATGAAAACAACGTCTACAAACGTGTCAATGACAAGAATTACACTAGACTTGCCAATAACTACGTTAACAAAGAAGTCAACAACACATACACAGGAAACCACTCAACTAATAGAAACCACAATTCCGACAGAAATAGATGCTGAAACAGAAGAAAATACACTAGCGTATGAAACAACAAATGGAGAAACAGACAATACAAACACTCTGTTACATACAACAAAGGAAAACCTGGGAATCACAACAACAGAAACAGCTGCCGCAGAAATGAAAAGAACCAAACCAGAAGAAACAACAATTGCACCAAGAGCAACAGAAACAAAAACACAAACAGCAGTACCAACAACAGCACCAAATGCAATAACAGCTGCATCGACATCCACAACAAACGTGTCAACAGAAACAACACCACGAGTGACAACTGAATTAGCAGCAACAACAATATCGACAACAAAAACAACTACATCAACAGCAGCACCAACATCAACCGCAGCTACAACAACACCAAAAGATATACTAACACTCATACCGAAACAAGCAACGACAGAAACTAACGAAACAACATCAACCTACACAACAACTGTCACCGATCAAACAGAGACTGACCGCGATTTCACAATCGGTGAAACAACAACTGCACTAAATATGACAGCTGCGCTAGACACAAAAACAACTGCACTAGATTTAGCAACAGCCTCCACAACACGGAACTCGACAACAGCAAAAGCTACCGAGTTGAGAGACAGCACAACTCCGAGAGAAATAAGAACAGTAGAAAACACAACATTTGCAGAAATGGCAACCGAAGAAGTTGAAAACAAAACAAAACCGATAGAAAGCGAAATATTTGTAGAAAAAACAACTGAAAAAGTAGAAAACATAACATCTGAAGAACCTCCAGCTAAAGAAGAAGGAGCAAAAATAAGACCATCAGAAATTACAGTTGCCACAAGGAAAACCAATCCATTAGACGTCACAAAAATCTTGCTAGACGTAACAACTGAACAAGCAGAAAACACAACTGAAACACCAAAAATAACAACCAAACAAGCAGAAAACACAACTGAAACACCAAAAATAACAACCAAACAAGCAGAAAACACAACTGAAACACCAAAAATAACAACCAAACAAGCAGAAAACACAACTGAAACATTGACAATCACAACTGAACAAGCAGAAAACACAACTGAAACATTGACAATCACAACCAAACAAGCAGAAAACACAACTGAAACACTAAAAATAACAGCCGAACAAGCAGAAAACACAACTGAAACACTAAAAATAACTAAACAAGCAGAAAACACTACTGAAGCACCACAAATAACAACTGAACAAGCAGAAAGAAAAACTAAAGCACTAAAACTAACAACCGAACAAACAGAAAACTCAACTAAAACACTAAAAATAACAACAGAACACGCAGGAAACACAACTGAAACACTAAAAATAAAAACTGAACAAGCAGAAAGCACAACTGAAACATTGACAATCACAACTGAACAAGCAGAAAACACAACTGAAACACTGACAATCACAACTGAACAAGCAGAAAACACAACTAAAACATTGACAATCACAACTGAACAGGCAGAAAACACAAGTGAAACACTAACGATGACAACTGAACAAGCAGAAAACACAACTGAAACAATAAAAATAATATCTGAACAAGAAGAAACTCCAACTGAACAAGCACACATCACAACTGCTCTAACAGAAATAAAACAAGCAAAAAATACAACAGCGCAATCAGAAATATCCACACCAATAACAATGAAAACCCAACACACTGACCAAACAGCAACATCAACAGAAGCAGCGAGGGTGCCGCAAGAAATGACAGTAACATCTCTAGTCTTAACAACTGCTCCAAAGGAAACAACACTAACACCAACCAAAACGAATGAGGGTCAGACAGTGAAACTTCCCGAATGGAGCGCTACTAGTGTTGGAACCGCAACATTGAATGCTACATCTCTCTACAATCGGACTTTACCAGGTTCATCTGCCACTACAACATTGTCTACGTCAAGTTTTCATTATCCAACAAATATAACAACAACTTCTTCAACAATGAAACAAACCACACAAGTTGTATACAGTACAGGAAGCTTCCCAACAAATACCCAGTCGCTTCCGGTTTCATTGAAAATAGGTCAATATGGTCGCCAGCAGACAAAAGCGCCGATTGCGACTTTAACGGAAGGGAATGATGTAATCATAGAATATTTTGAGGAAGAAGACACAAAAGAAAATGACTTTCCGGAGTGGTACAAGCATAAAGCAAACATGTTTCATTTGAGAAAATCCCACAACAGAGACAACAAATATCATTCTGAAGGACACAGAAACAACATTTACCACTACTACAGAGGAAATAAAATCGTCAACTACCATTTTTATGGTAAACACAAAGGAGAACTTCATCGCCCACGCCAGGATGACAATATTCGTGGTGGTTCTAAAGAACATGGGAACCCAAATGTTTGGTGGAAGTCGTATGGTCAACAACGACCTCATCAGGACAGCGAATTTGATCAGAACTAGGCTAACCGCCGCACAACCTGCGAGCCACTAAGAGTGAAGGTGTTACGATACAGAACGACCGAAATGAAAACACCTTATGAGAAGGAGTGGACTAGAGAACTTGGCGACGACCGGGAAGATAGATGGAAACGGAGCAGTAGGAAGATACAGAGATAAATATATGGATGGCTTGGTCATATGGATGGAATGGGGAGGGGTGGGGAGGAGGAAGCGGGACGGTACTTAATTTATAACTTACCCCTGACGTCACGACTACGTCACGGGAGACAATTCTAATAAATTCTAGGGTTTTCAGGTTGTAGTCTCTCGCGATTTATCTACAGCCAAGTTGAGGGTTAGGGTTAGGGTTAGGGTTAGGATTAGAAGACACTAGATGAACACTAAAAAAAAAAAACACCAAACAACAGCACACTTGCACCCCTTGAAATAATGGACTGTCAGGTCAGCTGTGGATTTTCCACGGGGATTTCGTGTTTGGGGTACGTTATAAATTAAGAACCGCGGGACAAAGACATTGACCTGATCTATGACCCTGGTGATCGTGTGGGATGGTGAAACATGACAGCCTACGCTCACCATCACGGTTCTTGGTGATGATGAAGATGACGATGATGATAATGATGATGATGATAATGATGATGATGATAATGATGATGATGATGATGATGATGATGATGATGATGATGATGATGATAATGATGATGATGATGATGATAATGATGATGATGACGATGATGATAATGATGATAATGATGATGATAATGATGATGACGATAATGATGATGATCATGATGATAATGATGATGATGATAATGATGATAATGATGATGATGATGATGATAATGATGATGGTCATGATGATGATGATGATAATGATGATGGTCATGATGATAATAATGATGATAATGATGATGATGATGATAATGATGATGATGATGATGATAATGATGATGATGATGATGATGAAATACCTGAACCCATCTCACGAGAATGTATTAAATTGAAATTTTAAAGGATTAAACAAGCATCGAAAGTTTTCTGTTTTGCTGTCAATTATTATCATAAAATGCCTTGCCGACTGGCGTGGGCGATCAGGCCTTTCCACAATCTGTGAGCCGTAATTATAAGTACTAGGTGGTGTGTTGACACCCCTCCATTCCATGAGAAAAGTCTGTCAAGAATCTTCTCTTGCTGTCTGCCTCTGTCTATCCTTTCACAAATCTTTCCAGTGGTCACAAGATGATAAATTTTCATTCTTCTCATATCATCATCATCATGTAGCAGGTCCTTTGCAGAACGTCGCTCTCATCACAGTCTGCCTGTAAGAAACTCGGTCTCTTGCCAGTTCTCCCGCCTCATGAACTTTCACACTCAAGGAGTCACTTATATCCTGTGCCCATCTTCGTGTCGGTCGGCCTCTGCCCCTCCTTCCTGGTACCATGCCTTCTGCTAGAAGTTTTTCCAATCTGCCGTGGCGCTTGATATGACCAAAATATTTCAGCTTTCGAGAAAGGATGCTGGTTATTAGCCAATCTTCCTTGATGTTCAGATCTTTTAAGATGTCAATATTTCTCATCTTCTTTGTCCAAGATATTCTGAGAATCTTTCTATAGCATTTCAGCTCAAAAACCCCTATTCTCTTTCTGAAGGACTGGGAGATAGCCCACGACTCACATCCGTATGTAGCCACAGGGAAGATGCATGCTCTCACAATTCTAATTTTGATCTCCTTGCTGCTGCTTAACCATAGACTTTTAAGGCTGTTCAATCTTTGCATTGCTATGGCCATCCTCCTTTTAATTTCTGTCAAACAGTCTCAATTGTTGTTTAATATAGAGCCTAGATATTCAAAGTTTGTGACATTTTCAATTTCTTCATCATTTATTGTTATTTATGGGTGACAGTCAGTTTTATCTGTGAATATTATCTTCGTTTTCTTTAAATTCAAGAACAGCTTTTGGACGGACAATATTAAATTTTCTATTTCCTTTACACTGTTCGAAAGGAGGACTGTGTCATTTGCGTTGCGGATTCTTCTCATAACATGAACCAAAAAAAAAATGATGACTGTCTTTTTCTGAGAGTTGTCTTCGAGCACTCGCCTTTGTCCAAACATCTAGGTTACTCTTCTTGGCTGTTCGATGAATTCTAAGGGTGTGATTTGAAGCCATACTCTGGCTCTTGCCAGGGGCCGCAATATAGCCTGGCCATAAATATGACCTAAAGGCTGAACGCGGTTTCTGGGACCTCTCCGCGGTAATCCTCACCCACATAGTGGCACATTGTGTCGTCGGGTGTTTATCGCTTGTGAGATGTCCTGGTGGGGTAGAAAGTCAGTCAGTCAATTCCAAGGGTTCTTTTGTAAAACCACATCTCCGAGGCCTCAAGATATTGTTCAGCTTGTTTGTTAATTGTCCAGGATTCACAGCTGAATGTTAAAACTGGCTCTATATTTTAATTCACTTTTAATATTGTTCAGATTTAAAAAAAAAATGTTGACAATCGAAGGTGGAGATTTTTAAGACGCAACTTGGAAAATTACTTCAGCAAGTCTAGATACGAAGGGAGGTGTCTTAGAAGGACACACAAATATTCCGCCACAGAAAAGGAGAGATTGTCTAAACAGAGAAACAGACGAGATTGTCTCAATACAAAAAAGAGGAGAGATTGTCTCGACATAAACACAAGAGATTGTTTCAACATAAACACGAGAGATTGTCTCAACATAAACACAAGAGATTGTCTCAACATAAACACAAGAGATTGTCTCAACATAAACACAAGAGATTGTCTCAACATAAACACGAGAGATTGTCTCAACATAAACACAAGAGATTGTCTCAACATAAACACAAGAGATTGTCTCAACATAAACACAAGAGATTGTCTCAATACAAAAAAGAGGAGAGATTGTCTCAACATAAACACAAGAGATTGTCTCGACATAAACACAAGAGATTGTCTCGACATAAACACAAGAGATTGTCTCAACATAAACACAAGAGATTGTCTCGACATAAACACAAGAGATTGTCTCAACATAAACACAAGAGATTGTCTCGACATAAACACAAGAGATTGTCTCAACATAAACACAAGAGATTGTCTCAACATAAACACGAGAGATTGTCTCGACATAAACACAAGAGATTGTCTCAACACACAAACTTTAGAGATTGCGCCAACCCGTGGCGAGGCGTGATCAGTTCGCACGTGTATGCGTCTGCACATAACAATTACACAGGAGAGGGTATTGCGTGATACTTTTGTCCTCGTTTTCTCTTTATTGATAATAAATTGTAGTACTAGTAACTGATAGCTTTCACGCGTTATAGTTTCTGCAGGAGTGGCGTTTAGCATGCGATGAACGTCATTTTCACTATGTTATAGACTTAAACCAAATGATGCATTTGTAATAAATAGTAAACAGTAATAATAAACAATAAATTCATGTAGTATTTGGCAATGGAAAGTGTAAGCAGAGATTACATCCGTTACATGCACGGCTCGCCACTGGTCTCAACATACGAACGCGAGAGATTGTCTCAGCATACGAACGCGAGAGATTGTCTCAACATACGAACGCGAGAGATTGTCTCAACATACGAACACAAGAGATTTCTCAACATACGAACACGACATTGTCTCAAGATATGAACACGAGAGATTTTTTAACATGCGAACACGATAGAATGTCTCAGCATACGAAAATGAGATTATCTCAAGATACGAATACGAGATATGGTCTCAATATACGAACACAATTGTCTCAACATACGAACACGAGAGATTGCCTTAACATACAAACACGAGAGACTGTCTCAACATACACATTTAAAAAAATTAAACGACAAAGTTGTGCGGAAAACACATACATGCACGGGGTAAATGGCATCAATACATAACAATAAATATTGTCTCATATTCAAAGACACAAACACATACAGAGAGGTATACATACTTCTAAAAGGCACACCTACTAAAGGAGACACATCTAGTCAAATGCAGTTACACCTACAAAGGGTTTATTTATATGCAGACTGTTGGTCCCTCGCCTCACATATGCATCCCTACCTCAAAGGAAACACCCATAAATTAGAGCTTCTTACGACATGCTAATTAGGGGAAAGTTGGTCTATTTCCCCCCCCCCCCCGCCCTCAATTGGGGCTCCTGAGTCCACGCAAACAGTGCTGATTCTTCTTCGTTGGTTCGTCTGAAATAAGTTGTCTATATCAGCAATTTAGGTGTATCTATACATTTCACTGTCGTTGTTAGCATCTTCAGTGTGTTGTTCTCTTGTAATTTCTCTATGTAGACTATGGACACACAGAGCACTTGTTGATATTAGTTAATGTAATGTCTAGTTTTCTTCACTGGCACGCCTTAATATCTGGAAAACAGCCAACTATGTGGGTCTAGAGTACCTAGGCTGATATGCCGCTGGGTTTTCCTTCGATGGATATTCTGCTAATACTTGCAGTCATGTATAATTTAACACCTGGATACCTGGGTACCTGGGTACCTGGCTCAACACCCACAAATATTACTATGACTATCTCAGAAAGTCAGCAATAAGGACTTGTGACAGGCCACATAAACTTTAATATCATTCATATAAATTACACGGCATAAGATGATGACGAAAATATGTGTATGATAAAAAGTCTCTATTATTTCCACTGACGATCTTAACAACTACAACCTTCACTCAAAAGGTCTGTCATCAGAAGTTAAAACAGACATCAAACGGTCTCCAGCTACTTCGGTAGAGTAAAACCCTTACTCTGTGAAATGTTCTACAACATTCTCGGTTCAAGTCACATTTTCGGGCCCAGAATCAGAGTGACTTCCCATCCCATTCATGAATTGCCGTATCGCGCGGCGTTTTCTGTGTTGCGGGGGTGCCACGC